TTTGTCCTTTGTCAGTTTGTAATAAGTAAGTATGAGTTCCATGTAACACGCCTGGTTTACCAACAGACAAGGTTGCTGAATGAAGCCCTGTATCAATTCCTATAAATAATAAATAATAGATAAATAATAAATAATAAGTAAATAATAAAGAATAATAATATGTTTGAGTTTTTTTTTTTGCATATATATTTGAAAGTTAAAAAAAGTATTACCTTTACCACCAGCTTCAACCCCAACCATCTTGACGTCCTTATCATCAAGAAATGGAGCAAATGTTCCAATAGCATTACTGCCACCACCGACACAAGCAATGACCAAATCAGGTAATTTACCGGCTTGCTTTAACATTTGCTCTCGAGCCTCTTTGCCAATTACCGATTGGAATTCGCGAACAATAACTGGAAACGGATGTGGTCCTATTGCGGATCCAACGACATAATGTGTATTTCGAACATTAGTTACCCAATCACGCATAGCCTCATTAATAGCATCCTTTAATGTTCTACTGCCTATGAATAATATATTAAAAATCATTAATTAATTCATACTAATCATTTATGCATAAATTATAAAAAAAACAACCAGAATCCACGGATTTAACAGTTGCTCCTAATAATCTCATTCTGAACACATTTAGTGCTTGCCTTTTAACATCATCGCTACCCATAAATATAACACATTCTAATCCAAACTTAGCGCAGACAGTTGCTGTCGCTACGCCATGCTGACCAGCTCCTGTTTCTGCAATAATTCTCTTTTTCCCAATACGTTTAGCAAGAAGAACTTGTCCAATAGCATTATTTATCTTATGTGAACCTGTGTGATTTAGGTCTTCTCTTTTTAGCCAAATCCTTGCACCACGAGTATCATCGGTTAACTTACGAACATCAGCTGTTAACCTATCAGCATACTGGAGTTTTGACTCTCTACCCATATAGTCGTAGTAAGATTGATATTCTTTCCAAAAATCAGGATCTTCTTTGGCTTTTACGAATGCCTAAATATTAATAAAATTATTATTATCACTTGCAAATATAAGCTTTTTGATTTATAAATGTAACAATACTTTTTCAAGTTCCATTATGCAATCAAACAAAGCTTCTGGCACGTATTGACCTCCAAATTCACCAAATCGTGGGGAAATGATGTATGGTACACTTTTCTAAAAAAAATTATTACACAAATTAAAATTTTAAAATCCGTCAAAAAAAAAAATAATGTACATACATTTACGTATATTTACATTGGATGCCATTTTGTCGATGTTTACACAATTGTTTCGAATATTTTGATCCACTTTTGCATACGTATTGTCGACTATAAAAAAAAAATAAAATAAAATTAGCAAGCAACCCACATATGTAATAGAAAGTGTCAAATATACATCATACCCTCATCTCTAAGTCCAGAAGATAAGCCACAGACTTCCGAAGCATATTCCTTTACTTTTTCGGCACGTTTTCCCTTTTCTAGACCATTAGATGTAAATTCAAGGTTTAATTGATTGCAATATTTATCGATTTTAACCGACTTACAAGATTAAGATGGTTAAATGTATATACCAGCCGTCTTTAAGACATGAACGATTTTACTACCAATGACCACACCTTCTGCATGCGACGCGATTATTTTAAAATGTTCTCTAGTGGAAACACCAAAACCAACTGCAAGAGGAATATCTGTGTATTTGCGGATCCTGGCAATCAAGTCAGGTAACTCTTTATCAACTTCGGCGCGAAAGCCGGTTGTTCCCAATCTTGATACGACGTAAATGAAAGAGTCAGAAATTTTTGAGAGCTGTTGAATGCGTATCTCTGTGGTAGAAGGGGCAATAAGAGGCACATAGCTTAGACTATATATATGATAAAAAGGTAAAATTGTAAAAATTATAATAACGTATGAAAAAAAAAGTAAAAATATAAATGAGAAAATAAACAATACCCATTTTGAGTGCAAAGGTCGCGCAAATACTTAGATTCTTCCGGTGGTAAATCGACTACAATGAAACCATTGACTCCATTTTTCTTGCAATTTTCTATGAGCTTTTCTTCTCCATACATTAACATTGGATTATAATAGCCCATAAAAAGCACCGGTGCTTTAAGACCACGAGCACGAGCTTCAGAGATAAAGGATAAACTTTGATCTATATCAATATTATGCTTAAGTGCCTCCTATAGAAGAACGATTCAAATGATTTAAGAGACAGATCATATGAATTGTCGAATGAAATAAAATATATCCAATCGTTACATTGTTGGCTTCTTGAATTACTGGTCCGTCTGCTAATGGATCCGTAAAAGGTATACCTAAATCATTGAACGAATTAATGTATTATAAAATTAGTATTAGAACACGTTTGAATGGTATCTTAAATCGTACATAAAATTCCTTACCGAATTCAATTATGTCAGCCCCGCCTTCTTCAAGACCAAGAAGAATGTCAACAGTCTCTTCGGGGTCAGGGTACCCAGAGGTTATAAAGGTAACGAATACGGGTCTTTCTTAAAGATATTAAAGAATATAAAAGAATATATATAACATTTTTTAAAAAAAATAAAAAAAATATATAAAACTAATATGGATTAATACTTTTTTCTTTAGCCTGCTGAAAAACTCTTTTTAAAGCTTCCGACATTATTATAATTCGAAGTTATCATTTTCGCATTTTCGCATTTTCGCATTTTATCTGATCACATCTGGGGCTTAGCCCAGCGATAGGGAAAAAAATATTCCATCATGATCACTCATAATCACTCATAATTGTGTAACGATTCAAAATTGGAAAGTCATACCCCCCCTAACACCTCATGGAAGGACATTCGTCTGATTAGTTGATGCAAATCAATTGCTCGGGCAGGGACGATAATTTTCTGCATTTTCGCGGAATGCCATAGAATCACAGAATTTGGCTAAAAACACGGAATAGGTTAAAAATAGCGCAGAAAATAGGGAAGCATCATGGAAAGTAGGGTTTATAAGTAAACAATCCCCAAAATACTGTAGAAGTAAAATATAATTCCCGAAAAAGTTCTGACGTAAAAAATACATGAACCTAAAAGACGAGCGTGGTCTATACGAAATAATCCGAAGGTGCAATAATTTGGTTGCAGAATGTTCAAGTTTTTAACAGAATTTATAAAGCACAGAAATTGCAGAATTTGAATTTTATCTGTTATCACGGACGAGTCAATTTATCACCGCAGAAAATCGTCGTCTCTATTCCCGGGTAACTTATTTATACACTTTTAAAGTACTTT